GCGCCGACGGAGTCGACGATCAAGGGGATCAGGGATAATTTCACTCGTTTGCTCGTCGCGGCGTACGTCGGTGGTGTCGTCGCGTTGCATCCCACGTTCGCGCAAGGCGCGGGTGTGGCGGCGTTTGCGACGTTTTGCTCCGTGTACGACCAAGTCGCTTTCGCCGGCGGCGTCTCTGCACTCGCCCTCGACACCGTCGCGCAGTCGACGTCGAAGGAGTACGTCACGCGACTTCGCCGGCACGAGGCCGCGCATTTTCTCACGGCTTATCTCATCGGCATTCTGCCGAAGGGCTACACCCTGAGTTCCCTCGACGCGTTCAGGACGTACGGAGCGTTTAACATCCAAGCGGGATGCGCTTTTTGCGACGGCGAGTTTCAAGAAGAAGTTCGAAAGGGTAAGATCTCCTCCACATCGCTCGGGAAGTTCGCATGCGTCGCGATGGCGGGTATTTGCATGGAGTACATTCTGTTCGGTTTCGCCGAGGGCGGTCTGAGCGACGTGCAACAGCTCGACGGTCTCCTTCGCGCGTTGGCCTTCTCGCAGAAGAAGTCAGACTCCGAGGTGCGATGGGCCGTGTTGAACACGACAGCTCTGCTTCGCAGGCACGTGGGCTTGACGGAAAAGTTGGCTGAGATCATGGCTAGAGGGGCGAGCGTGGGCGAGTGCGTCGCTCTCATCGAGACAGAGATGCAAACCGCGGCGCTCATTTAATGGATACGGAGCAATTGATTGAAAGAAAATGCTGCTGCTAAATGCCTGCTAAAGTTGACGGGTTTATTCCGTCTCGACTCGCTTCTTCGCGCTATAAAAGATAAACTGCTGTCGCGTCTCGCACTTAAAATCGACGAGCCCGCACTCGGTGAAAAGATCCCTGAGTTCCTTCTTGCTCCACCACCTGAAACCGCGAGCCGCGTTTTCGGTGCCGCTGAACTGGCGCACGACGCCGTCGAAAACTTCCTGTTGGTCTTCGTCGAAGAATGGCACCTGCGGGTTCATGAAAGTCGTCCCACAGAACGTCGCGCCGGGCTTCAACACGCGAGCAATCTCTGCGACGGCCGTCGTCGAATCGGGCCAACAGTGAATGGCCGCTCCAGCGTGTACGCCGTCGAGAGAGCTCTCCGGGAACGGCAATCGAGCAATGTCAGCTCGAACAAAGCACACGTCCGCGTTACCCAGGAGCTTTTCGTCCTCCATGTACTGTTTCGCCTGACGCAACATCGCGTCCGAGTAATCGAGCGCCACGACGCCCTTATACGCCTTGGTCTTCAGGAAGCGTCTTGAGAACAAACCGCTTCCGCAGCTCGCGTCGACGATGATCCCGTCCCTCGCGAACTCACCGAGTGCGTCCATCGCGAGCCGTGTTTCCTCGTCCGGTCCCGGGAATCCCGCTCTGGCGAAGCTGTCTCGCCACCCGCGTTCGTACGCGAAAGCTACCTGCGGCGTCTCGAACGTCGCCGTGCCGAAGTAGGCGCTCGTCGGCAGTAACCCGCGCAGCTCGCGAGGTAACACCTCCCGAGCGAGATCGACCAAGGACGACGCCTGCTTTCTCGATCCCTCTCGCGCGTTCGTCGCCGCGCCCACGGTGAGATCCCACATTCCATCGACCTCTTCGTACCGCAATCCGCTCGACGGCTCGGTTCCATCCGCCCGCAACGCCTTGAGCGTCACCGGACACGCGAGCGGAAACGACGTCGCCGCGCGCCGCTCGATCGGCGGCTCGACCTCATCCGAGGGTAAAACCCCATCGACGACGTCCACCGACGCGCGCATTGAGACGTCGTCGTCGTCGCGCGACGCGCGAACGAACCGCGCGCGCGTCGATGATGACGATGATGACGTCGGTCGTTTAGAACCATCCCCGCGTCTGTGCGCGCGCGCGTCGCTCGAACGCCACGCGCGCGGCGTCGTCGACCGCGCGCTCGCGCGCGAGACCGAGCGCGACATCGCGCGCGGCGTCGTCGACCGCGCGGCGTCGTTCGCGGTCGGCTCCGTCGCGCGGTCGACGCGTGACGGGTATCTAAACCCTAAACCCTACCATCGACGCCCACATAGCACTCTGTCATTTTAATGTACACGAGATGGTGTCCCGCATCGACACGCGTGTGCGCACACTACGCGTCGACGGTTTTTATATCGACACCCTCGACGCGTAGGGTCATCGCGCGCGCCATCGTGCGGCGACCATGCCCGCCGACGCCGCCACGCGCGCGCTCGAGACGCACGCGGCGATCGCGAGCGAGAAGTCGCCCTACTACGCGCACAGAATCGATCTGTTCGATCGCTACCTCGAGCGCGAGGCGCGAAAGATCGATGACGCGCGGGCGAAGAGTGAACCGATCGCGGTGACGCTCCCGGACGGCGGCGTCAAGGCTGGCGTGCGGTTCGCCACGACGCCGTACGATGTCGCGATGTCGATACATAAGAAGTTGGCGCAGAACGCGCTCGTGGCCAAGGTGGATGGGGAGTTTTGGGACATGCGACGACCGCTGGAGGGGGACTGCGCGTTGCAAATGTTTACGTTCGACGACGCGGAGGGTAAGGAGTGTTACTGGCACTCGAGCGCGCACGTCTTGGGTGAGGCGCTGGAGTTGGAGTACGGAGCGGATCTCACGATCGGGCCGGCGATTGAGGAGGGATTTTATTACGATTGCTTTTTGGGGGAGCGAACCCTGAACCCGGACGACACGGCGACCATCAAGGCGCGAATGGAAAAGATCATCGGTGAGAAGCAAGAGTTTCAACGCATCGTCGTCAGCCGCGCCGAAGCGTTGGAGATGTTTGAGGAGAATAAGTTTAAGCTCGAGTTGATCGGTGGTCTGCCGGAGGACGCCACGATTTCGTGCTACAGGTGTGGGCCGATGGTGGACCTGTGCCGCGGGCCGCACCTACCGGACACCGGCCATCTCAAGGCGGTGGCCGTAACGCAGTGCTCGCGAGCGCACTGGCGCGCGGACGTCACGAAAGACCCACTCGTGCGCGTCTATGCGGTGACGTTTCCCACGGATAAGCTCATGAAGGAATACGTGACACGCATTGAAGAGGCGAAGAAGCGCGATCATCGCACGATTGGCTTGAACCAAGAGCTCTTCTTCTTCCACCAACTCTCGCCGGGTTCGTGCTTCTTCCAAAAGTACGGTGCACGCATCTACAACTCTTTGGTCGGCTACATCAAAGAGAAGTACTGGGAGTACGAGTACGACGAAGTCATCACGCCCAACATCTACAACTTTGACTTGTGGAAGACCTCTGGGCACGCCGCACACTACAAGGAGAACATGTTCGCGTTCCAGGTCGAAAAGGAGGAATTCGGTCTCAAGCCGATGAACTGCCCAGGTCACTGCGTGATGTTCGCGCATCGACATAGATCGTTCCGCGAACTCCCGATGCGAGTGGCTGACTTTGGCGTGTTGCATCGTAATGAATTCTCTGGCGCACTCAGCGGTTTGACGCGCGTGCGCCGCTTCCAACAAGACGACGCACACATCTTCTGCCGTGAAGATCAAATGGAGCAAGAACTTCTCGGTTTCTTGCGGTTCTTAGACGATGTGTACACGGTTTTCGGGTTGGAGTACGAGATGAAGTTGTCCACGCGTCCGGAGGGATACTTGGGCGAGTTAGAGGTATGGGACAAGGCTGAGGCGGCGCTCACCGCTGCGTTGAACAGAAGCGGTAGAGATTGGAAGCTGAACCCCGGCGATGGTGCGTTCTACGGACCGAAGATCGACATCACCGTTTTCGATGCCCTCAAACGTAGATTCCAGTGCGCCACGGTTCAGCTCGACTTCCAGCTCCCCATTCGTTTCGACTTGTCATACGTTGATGAGAACAACGAGCCGACGCGCCCTATCATCATCCACAGAGCCATTCTCGGTTCGGTCGAACGAATGTTTGGTATCTTGACCGAGCACTTTGCCGGCAAATGGCCGTTCTGGTTGTCCCCAAAGCAAGTAATGATCGTTCCCATCTCTGATTCCGCGAGTGGCGAGTACTGCATGGAGGTCAAGAGGATGCTTCGCAAGGAGGGATTCCACGTGGAGGTTGACAACTCGGACCGCAAGATGCAAAAGAAGGTCCGTGAGGCGCAACTCGAGCAATTCAACTATATTTTGGTGTGCGGCGAGAGCGAAAAGGTGAACAGAACGGTGAACGTGCGCACCCGTGACAACAAGGTTCACGGCGAGCACAAGGTCGAGGACTTGATCACCGTGTTGAACAAGGAGCGATCGACGCGAAGCTTGACGTGCTGCTTTGAAGACAGCGCGTAGATGATAACTAGACTAGCGACCGCTCGCGCGTGACCGTGACCCATTTCTTTTAACAAGCAACAAAATAAGGCATGTTTGTGAAGTGCAGCCCGTTTCGTTACAAGACGTCTTCAAAAGTCTTCTAACCCACCATTCGGTTGACAGCCTCGCGCGGGAATTCCAACGCGGATATAGGTAGGCTGCACTTTTCACTGACGCAGACGATGTGCTCACCGATGTAGATCGTTTTCGGCATGTAAACGGCGAAACAAATGACCACGACGTGTTTCGAATTGCTCTCGTGATGGATCGACGTCGACGTCCCGCCCCACTGCAAGCAGTGATCCTCTCTACAGATGCTCCTGGTGAGCGCGTAGTTGACATCAAGCGTGAACCAATCTCCCTGCGTGTTGATTCGCTTCGACGGATTCATACCATTCTTCAAAATCAGTTTTGAGGCCATGACACTCGTCCCATGAAAAGCAAGCACCACATCACTCGTCGTGCCATTCTTCACAGATTCATAGAAACGATTGTACAGCGGTGTCCCGGGCATAGAGTACTCGTTCAATCGAACGTTAAAGTTCGGTGACAAGTTATCGTTTCCAACTCTGTACGGCGTCCGACACTGCGAATCGATGAAAACTTTCCTGTCAGTCTCAGAACCTCTCGTCTCGACGCGACCCTCGTCGCCTCGTACGTGCCTGCAACGGGCGCGCCGCCAGTAGAGATTTGTGCGCCACCTTCCGCGGTGAAACGTTGAAAATGTAATCGTTGTGACAGTTCGAGCACTCCAACGAGCTTCCTCTCGCGTGCGTGCTCCGCAGGCATCGGTTCTCAAAGCTACACTGCGAGCACCGCCAAGAGTCCAAGACCTGCTCAGACTTGTTCGGGACAGCTGCTTCAGCCTGGGCATTCATCTTCGCCGTCTGCGTTCTCGTACGCGCGCGTGGGAGCTCGCTACTACGCCTGCGCTGGAAAAAGACGTGTACCATGGCGAGTGCGAGTAGAAAAGCGGCCGAGGGAGGCACGTCAGCCATTGAGGTCCCACTGGCTGAAAGCTTTCACGATAACCAACGCGGAGCGCAACCAGAACGCCGGTTGTTACTTTGGGCGAATGATGAGAACTGGCGCGTGCCGGTGAGAACTAGATGATTTTATATAAATTGATAACTATCAGAGCAGCATCGTGGCTTCCACGACTCGAGCCTCGGGTGCGTCTGTGCATCTGCTGACTGCTCGTACAACAGTCTCGCGATCAACGCCAGACTTAAGGAAAGCTATCACATGGCCGCCAGATCCGGCACCGCAGATGAAACTTCCGTGACTCAGTGGCTCGATAGCGCTATATATCGCTCGAATCGTGGGACTCTCTATCGATGACCAGAGGGACTGCTGCACAAGCTTGTGTTCTTCGAGAAGATTGCCAAGCCGCTCGATGGCGGCGTCGCCGAATCCATCGTCGATATCTTCGCGTTCGCCAAGCTCTCTGAACGTCTCAAACATTGTTGAAGCCAGCGCTGCGCATCGTTCCAGAGCCCCTTCGACGCCGGGCTCACGTTTCTGCCACGTGGTGACGACGGAATCGCAGACCGTCTTGGCCAAACGACAGGTGCCTGTGAAGACGCAAGCAAATCGCGAATTGATAAGAAGCTTGGCCGCAATACTCATGGGCGCGGTGTCATAAGAGTACACTGGAAGCACGTTCATGGGCGCATCCGTTGCCAGCCGCCAACCGTTTCCTGGCGTTGAACGACTGAGTCGCAAACCGTCTATTGCTCCGCCGACTTGGTCTTGCCATCCGCCACCCGTGGTGATCAGTTGTTCAACAGCGAGGACCGAGTTGATGCTAAGGCGCATATCCATGCTTGAAAACTCGCCCGCAACTTCGCATGGGAGCTTATTTTCGTCGAATCTTTCGACTCTCGCGGCAAGTGCGATCGGGCGCCCGCTTTCGTCTAGCGGTTTCCACTTCGCTCCCTGCGCGCACTCGATCATCGCGTGTAACATCGCCAAGGCCAAAATGCTACTCGTCCCAAGTCCCGATCCTTTCGGAAGATTCACTTCAGTGCGCACTTCGAGTGAACTGGCTCCAAAACAATCAATCAAAAGCTGTGTAAGCGATGCGTCTCCATCGTATTCTACGCAAGGTTTGTCAACAAGATCCGGAATCAAGAGAAGCGCGACGACGGCTTTGTGCAGCGCGAACGCCTGCGTGGGATCATAATGATTCAGAAGATCGTGCACAGACGCCACCCTCAGACGACGCTCTTCGCTCGTCACTTCATCTTTCATCACGAAATCAAAGAAACCTTCCGCTGAATTTGGAGTGAGTCGAGTCACAGTTGCGGTGATGGGCCGTTTGCCATCGATGAGAGCCGGCACGTGCAGAACGGCGCCTTCTCTTTCCAGAGAATAAGGTGGCGTGTCCGTCCAGCCACCGGCTAAATTGAATCTTGCAGGATAAGAAACGCGTATGTTGAACCGCTTTTGGAGCGCTAACTTGGGCACCACACTCGAGCTGAATGGTTGCACGATAACATCACGCAGACAGTCACGAGCGATCGTGTCCGCGCCCGGGACGCATAATGAAAGAGCCACTCGGCCGACGGTAAGAAGGTGTTCCGCGGAATCGTTATAGCAGTCGTCCTCCTCTCGTCGAAGCATGCTCTTCAGCGCGTGCTTGATTTGTTGCGCACTCAACAGTGCGTCTTCAAATTCTCTCGAAAGAGTCGCGACGTGCGGCGCGCGCGTTCTCCATTCGCTCGCTGGAATACCGTCTTGCACAAGTCTCGATATGCTTTCGACCAAGACGCGGCGCCGATGTTTGCCCTGACGAATAATCAGAGTGGAGCTATCAGAAAACTTGCGAAGCACTTCACTAATACTGACTTTACGAACAACGTCATGCTTGGCCACCTTCGTCTCGTCGTACCTACCACACTTCAGCCTTTTTGCCATTCTAAGCGCCTCAATTGCGGATTCTCGCGCGGTATCACTCACGGTGAAGAATCTCGCCAACGTTGTTGTGTGCGCCTCGTTGGCTCGCCACACACTAGAAGTATCTAGATCAAGGCGACGCGCCGCCTCTTCAACTGGAACGCCACAAATCGTACTCGACGTTCGCGACTTGACGACATCGTCCACGTTCATGATGATTGTCACAAACTTTTCTGTCGTGTCGCTGAAATCATCGCAACTCAAGGGAAGCGTATACATGAACGTGCCCGGTGTCACGGCGCCAATCTGTCCTGCAAGTTCGACGTCATATAGCGCGCAGTTTTCCGCGATGCTGACTCCTTCTTCGATGTCACAGTTCACAAGGCACGACCCAGAACCCAAGCTGCATCCATCGCCGATCACACTCCACATCACCACGGAATCTTCTGGCTGAAGAAACTGCGCACTCATCGAAGATGCAATGTTCACTGGAATACCTGGCGCGGGTAACGAACGAAGAAACTCCTTATCCCTCGTCGTGTGATACAAAAACTCAGGGATCGTTCCAAGATGAATAAACCGGCTCGGGATGAGCGGAATCACAATCAATGGACGCCCTCTTAACGCCTCCGCAACAGCACGTCTCGCCATTCTCAATCGATCCTCGCCTTCGTTCAACGATGCCGACGTGACGCTTGCGATATGATCAACGCGGTCTAAATACGACGTATCCGGATCGCTTCCGAGCGGTTGCATGAAATCGCCGTAGGCGCAGATCTCGCAACCTGCCAATACGTTTCGCCTTGTCGCATCGAGCTCAATTAGCGCCGCCACCGCGTCGACGCCTATGTGAAAACAACTATCAGTGAGAACCCATTCCTCCTCTTCGCCGTTACCGCCCATCACGCAGCCCGTCTCTCGCATCTGCGCCGCCGACGGCTTCTGTAGGCACCTTCGACACGCCAATGCTCTCGGCGTTTCTCCTGTGCGCGACGCTCGAGCCGCCTTGGCAACTTCTGTGGCATCACACGCGAACACTCCGTGTTGCTCCCCAATCGTCACCGAACTCGGATGCGCCAGCGCTGTAATCCCTCTTTCCATCTCCTTCATCGTCTCTTCGTCCAATCGCCCCAGACCTCGCTCGTACTCTAACGACACATCCGCGCACGACACGAAGACGCCCGCCGGCAGCGTCTCCAGCAGCGGTGTCAACTGCACCAACTGCGCCTCCAGCACAGTGGACGGCGTCCCGGTCCCCGACGCGTCCATGGGAATCTCTGCGAAAGCTTTACCGCACACCCCGTGCTGCGGCGCGCGCTCACTGTGTCCACCCGCGTGCAGGCAAAACGTTCGCGTCTCGCGCCAACCGTCCCCGAACCACCCTCTGAGTTCTCTGCACACCGCGATAGTGGCCCCGCCCGAGCCACACCGCGGTCCGGGTTCGTCCGCGACGACGACGTAGAGCTCGCGTTCGCCCGGCAGTTTCCCTTGGTCGTGCAAATCGTCGAGACGGGCGCGGAATCCACGCGCCTGCGAGCGCGAGCACGCGGTGAGCACGACGGCGTCCCAAAACGGTGCGCGCGACGCGTGCGGGTTCTCGAGCGAAGCCCTGTGCGCGCGCAGGCGTTCGGACGATGATGCATTGCGATCGGGATCGTCGGTCATGGCGTCGGGATGTGTGGTGAAAGGAATCTCCATCGCGCTTTCTCAAAACTGTCTCGCTCGTCTCCTATGGGTTTCTAGTCGTTCTCGCGAGGTCCTCGTCGTACATTTTCTGCTCGACGATCCTGCGATAATTGGCTATGGTTTTGTTCGCCAGCGACACGCGCTCGAACGCGAACGTTAATAACGCATCGGCGTCCGTTTGATTGGCGTATGCGTGCTTGAGGCACAACATGACATCCGGAAGCGACATGCACGATAAAATCTCGGCCTCGTACATCTTCATCATCGCGATCGCGACTCGGAACCACACCTTCTCACCCTCGTAGGTGATGCAATCGAGAACTCTCGCGGCGGTTGTTGCGGGGAAAGATTCGACAAAAAGGCAGAGCAACCACTTACTCGCAATCATGACCAAGTCGACGTCGAGCTCCTTCAGGTGCTTCGCCACCTTTGGAGCGTTCACATCCAGGAGCTTATGCAATATTTTATACTGCGATATCGTGCCCTTGATGTCTCGCGCGTGCACGTCGTTCGGGAGCACGACGTCGAGTAGAGCAGTGAAGGTCCAGAACGCCTTTTCCTCGTCGCCCATGACGAGCCAGAGAAACGCCGCGATGTAATTCATTCCCTGACAGTATCCCGTCTTACGATTGTGCCGCGCGTACGCGTAGAGCAACCGCCTCAGAACATCATTTCCCTCCACCCCATTCGCGTCTCGTTCGTACCTCGCGTTTGCCGGGAACGTCCGAGCCAAATCGAGCTCGATTTGGTCCACGACCTTTTCATCCACGCGCATCAACAACAGCTTCTCGTAATACCCCTCCGTCGGCCCCATTCGCATCAACTCCCTCGCCCCGCTCGCCGCGAACCACGCGTCACACCTTAAATCCATCGGCACCCCTCGCCGCGTCGCTCGTTTCAGCGCTGGATCTCTCGCCTCTCTCGCCTCTATGAGCGTCCGCTCCGTCGTCTCCCCTCGCGCGCGCGTCCAATACTCATCCTCCCGTCGCTCTCGCGTCGCCTCGCGCGTCGCCACCGCGTCCGGGTCCAACGCGAACCCGTACGCATCCGTCGTTGTCTCCCTCGACGTCTCCGGGGCGTCACCCACGTCGTTCGTCGCGATCGTCCGTCCCGTCGGCGCGTGAAACGTCCCATTCGTTTCCAATCGCGCCCGCAAAGCGTCGTCGCGCCCGCCCCGTTCGCCCCCATCGTCGGCGCGTCGACAGCACGCAAACATGGACGTCGTTCGACGCCCTCGCCCGTCCCGCGCCCCCGTCGCGCGCGCGCGTGTGTCGCTCGACCGCGTCGTGGAGGTTTTCCATTTCGTCTCCGCACTCGCGCGCGCGCTCGCGCGCCGGCATGGACGCCGCGACGCCGCGCGCGCGCCGCGCGATCGCTCCGCGCGCGCGCGCGGCGCCGACGCGCGCGCGCGCGCGGACGCGGCGACGGGCGGGACGGCTCGAGCGGGACGCGCGAGCGGTCGTTCGCGGTGAATTCGGTGGCTCGTCGACCGCGCGCGGGGGGGCGGTAGGCAGGGCGCGCGCGCGCGGTAGGTCCCGGACGTCGACGCGACGGACGCGCGCGAGCGACGGCGCGGGGGACGACGGGCGGGTGGGAGAGAAGACGACGCTGGAGCGGCGCGTGGACGGATTGCCGTCGTTGTTGCGCATGAGCACGCCCAAGGCTGTGTGGTACGTGGGGTGGCCCACGACGGTGATCGGGCTGATGCGAAGCGCGTTTCCGCTGACGGATACGTTTTGGGTGGGTAAGCTAGGGGTGGTGGAGCTGAACGCGCTGTGCTCGAACGCGTTCGCGGGTTGGATGCTGTACCTGTTGTGCTCCGTCGTGGCTTTCGGGGTGCAGAATAAGGTGAGCGTGAAGGTGGGGGCGGAGAAGTACGAGGACGTCGGTGCGGTGCTCAGGGATGGGTTGTTCGGGGCGGTGCTGACGTACGCGTTCATCGCGTGCTTGATACCCTTCGCGCCGGCGTACACGACGACGCTCGGCGTCGAGAAGGGCCTGACGGTGACGATCGCGCAGGAGCATCTTCGAGCATCGCTCATAGGTTCGGTGGGTTTATGTTTCAGCAACGTCTTAGAGGGCACGTTGCGCGGGTTCGGTTCGATGAAGCCGGCTATTTGGGTCACGGCGTTCATGGTGTTGTGCAACATCGTGTTGGATCCGCTGTTGATTTACGGCGTCGGCCCGTTTCCGCGGCTCGGTGTCGCCGGTGCCGCGGTCGGAACGAGTATTTCGACGTGCGTCGGGGCTTTCATGTTCCATCGCATCTTGGTGAAGCGATTCGAGGTGAAAATTCCAGCCACCGCGCCGGATACAAAGATGCTCAAGGACATCATCGCCATCGGAGCCCCAATCGCGATCGCCGGGATCGTCTTCGCCCTCGTGTACGTTGGACTTGGGCGCATCTTGACATCTATCGATCCAGTCTCTCTCACCGCCATGGGTCTCGGCCAGCAGTTTGAGAACATTCCGTACACGGTTACGGAGGCGTTCCGCATCGGCGCGTCGACCATCGTCGGCCAATGGATCGGCGCTCGTAACGCAACGCGAGCGCGGGACGCGGGTTGGAGCGCCATTCGTATATCGTCCGCCGCTCTCATCCCATTCGGCGTCTTCTTCGTCGCCTTTGCGCCGCAGTGCGTCGCGCTTTTGACGCAAGATCCAGTCGTCGCCGGCCACGCGGTGTCCTACATGTACTGGAACTTCCCAATCGTCTCCTTCATGGCGCTCGAGTGCGCCGTGGAAGGCGCCTTCACCGGCACTGGCGTCACATACCCCGTTCTAGTCATCGCCATCCTCCTCAACTTCAGCAGACTTCCGATCGCCGCCGCCTTGGCGCCCGCGTACGGAGTCGCCGGCGTCTGGTTCACCATCGTCGCCACCCAGATCGCGAAGACCTTGCTCAAGACCGCGTGGCTCCGGAAAACGTTCAACGATCTCGTCGACGTCGAGAAATCTCAGCTTGATCTCCATCGGGACGATCTCGCGTCGGCTTGACGCACCTAATATGTAAGTAATACCGCCGCGCGCGCGCCTGGGGGCCTTGACGACGACCCGCGCGCGTTATCCGCACTTCCCATCGCGCGCGATGCACGCCGCCGCCGTATCCTCCGCTAAAACCATCCGCGGTGTCTCCGTCGCCCGCGTCGCCCTCAAAAACGCGCGCGCGCACACCCGTTCGCGCGTCGTCGACGTCCGAGCGGCGAAGAAGGAAATAATCGCCACCGATAAGTCCCCAGCCGCGCTCGGACCGTACTCGCAAGCGGTCAAGGTTGGAAACACGGTGTACGTGAGCGGACAAATCGGCCTCACGCCCGCGATGGAGTTCGCGGGAAGCACGGTGGAGGAACAGACGGAACAGGTGATGAAGAACATGGGCGAGGTGCTCAACGCCGCGGGCGCGACGTTCGACGACGTCGTGAAGTGCACGATCATGATCGCCAACATGGACGATTTCAAGACCGTCAACGGGATCTACGGTAGTCGATTTCCGGGTGAGAATCCTCCGGCGCGAGCGACGCTCGCGGCGAAGTCTCTGCCGCTCGGCGCGTTGGTCGAGATCGACGCCGTCGCCGTCATCGGCTAACGTACGTCGACGAAGCGCGCGCGCTCGTCGCGTCGAGCATCCAACGGCTCGAGTCCTCAACCCGTCAAGCGCACGTAAACGAAAACGATTGAATTCTCCATCTATTCTCTTCTTGAACCGCCGTGAAGAGCTCGCTCGACGCGTCGCGCGCGCGCGCGTCTTCCACCAACCAGAGTCCCTCGCCTCGAGTAAAGACTCGTCGCCTCGCGCGTCAGAGCCCACTCCGACACACTCGAGCGCGCGTTCACGATGCGCGCACCGATGGGACGAGGCGGTGGCCGCGGCGGTGCGTGCGAGCGATGATATCGATGCGCGTGGCGACCCGAGCGCGACGCAATCGTCGTCGCGGCGCGCGCGTTGAGGCGACGATAGCGGAGAGGATTCGCGCGAATTGCGGATCGCGGCGGCGGCGGTCGCAGGAATTCGTAAAGAATCGCGTCGCTCGGCGTTCGTTCGGCGCGTTTACGCGCACACTCGGCGGTGATGAAATCACGTCGTGCTTCACGGCGTTTCGAGAGGGAAACGAACGTCGCACGGGGACTGACGAGGGAAAAACACGCGCCGTTTTCGTCGAATGCGCAGGTTTTTCGCCCGGCGGCCGAGGCCGCGGCGGACGCGATGGCGGACGAGGTACGTCTCTCACGGCGCGCGTGCGCGCGTGCGCGAGACGATGGATTTCTTTCGCGCGCATTCACGCCTCGCGCGAGACCCATCGGCGCTCGAACGAGAGCGCGCGGGATGAAAAGGGAGCGACAGTGACCGGGGCGGCGCCGGTAACTGTGCTGTGGAAATGAATGCGAGACTGACTTTGCTTTTCACACGACGTAGGCGGTGGACGCGGTGGCGGACGCGGTGGTGGACGCGGTGGCCCCGGCGGACGCGGCGGTGGACGCGGCGGTGGACGTGGCGGACGCGGCGGTGGACGCGGCGGACGCGGCGGCATGAAGGGCGGGTCGAAGGTTGTCGTCGAGAAGCACCGCCACGAGGGCGTTTTCGTCGCTCGCGGGAAGGAAGACGCGCTCGTGACGAGAAATATGGTCGTCGGTGAAAGCGTCTACGGTGAGAAGCGCATCTCCGTCGACGAGGCGGACGGCACGAAGACGGAATACCGCGTTTGGAATCCGTTCAGGTCGAAGATTGCCGCGGGCATCCTCGGCGGTTTGGACAACATTCACATCGCTCCGGGCACGAAGCTCTTGTATCTTGGTGGCGCTTCTGGTACCACGGTCTCTCACTGCTCCGATCTCGTCGGTCCGGAGGGCACCGTTTACGCCGTCGAATTCTCTCACCGCTCTGGTCGCGACTTGGTCAACATGGCGAAGAAGCGCACCAACGTCATTCCGATCATCGAGGACGCTCGTCACCCGCAAAAGTACCGAATGTTGATCGGTATGGTTGATACCATCTTCGCTGACGTGGCGCAACCCGATCAAGCCCGTATCGTTGGCCTGAATGCGCAGTATTTCCTCAAGCAAGGCGGTAACTTTATGATTTCCATCAAGGCGTCGTGCATCGACTCCACTGCCGCTCCGGAGGCCGTCTTCGCCCGTGAGGTCAAGAAGCTGCAAACGGAAGGCTTTAAGCCCAAGGAACAGTTGACGCTAGAGCCGTACGAGCGTGATCACGCGATGGTAACAGGGATTTTCCGTGCGCCGAGCAAGAAATAAGGTGCTCCGATTTTGCAAAACCTTGTGTGTGTAACAGAACAGAACAATTCTCGAAACCACCGCGCCTAAAGCCGCCATGAGCTCGCAAATCCAACGCGGTTGACGTCATTCAGACTCGTTTTCCATTTCCATGGAAGTCTCCGTCTCATTCTCGCCTTCCGCGCGTCCCGCCCGTTTCGCGACCTCTTTCAGAATCATCCAAATCCCGCCGCCACAACTCGACACCCGCGACGTCCCGATCGCAATGGTCGCCCTCGACGTCGAGGCCGTCTCGAGGATGTCCCCCGGTCGCTTCTTCCGCGATCACACGAGCGCGGTGAACGCCCTGGACTTTCATCACACCGAGGACCAAATGGTGACCACCGGGGATGACGACGCGATTCACGTCTACAACACCAACACCGGCGCGAAAACGAAGACGCTGTACAGCAAAAAGTACGGGTGCGCCAACGTCACGTTCACGCACAGCGCGGCGGCGGTGGTGTACTCGTCGCGCGCGAAGGGGAGCGGCGGCGCGGCGATCGACGACCACGCGGTGAGGTATCACTCGCTACACGACAACACGTACGTGCGGTACTTCAAGGGACACAGCGATGCGGTGACGTCGATCGCGATGAGCGCGACGAATGATAATTTCTTAACCGCGGGAGCGGATTTGACCGTGCGATTGTGGGATTTGAGAACGCCAAAGTGCTGCGCGGCGATTCCGCAGTGTCCGGCGATCCCGTACGTGGCGTACGACGCCCAAGGTGAGGTGTTCGCGGTGACGGAGGGCGACGGGGCGATCAAACTGTACGGGACCGGGAGCTATAGTAAAGGGGCGTTCGCGCAGTTCGACGCATTTCACGACAGGAACGGGCAGTATCTGTTCAACCCAGATGAGCCGCCGCCGGCGGTTTCGTGCGTCAAGTTTTCGTCAGACGGTAAACGCATGCTCGTCGTGAGCGGGAACTTCATCACGATTCTTGACTCATTCACGGGTGAACACACGATGCGAATTCGCGTGCCCGGATCGGGGCAGCAGCAGCACGCGGTGACTCCCATGGAGGCGAGTTTCTCGCCCGACGGCGAGTTCGTCGTGAGTGGAGGCGCCGACTCGCGGATACACGTGTGGAGCTCGAACACCGGCTTCGCCGTCTCGCAGTGGCGAGCGCGCCACGCCGGATTGCCGACGTGCGTCAAGTGGGCGCCAAACATGATGCTTGTCGCCAGCGGTTGCACTGAAGGTGGGACAGCGCTGTGGATCTCTGACAAACAGCGTGCTTGAGCGAGTGAACGAATACATATAGCGTAGCCTAGCGATGTGATCATTACACGGGATCGAATGTTTTGCACGGATCGTTTCGCGCGCTCACTTACCGAACCAACCCTTTTTCTTCGGTGGTGGTGCCTTCTTGCCCTTTGCGGGTGGCGCCTTTTTCTTTCCGCCGAAGAGGCCGCCGAACGGACCCGAGTCGCTCTCGTCGACCCATCCCTCGTCCACGTACTTCCCCCTCAAGTCAAATCGTTCTCCACCGTCGAACTCTGGCATACCGAACGAGGCCATGGGAAGAGGTATGCCACCTTTTATGGCTTCCTTGGACAGCGCGTTCGCCTTATCTCTGTTCTTCTTCTCGATCATCCTCATCTCCTGTTCCGGGAGCTTCTTGTTCACGAACCTCGAGACCTTCGCGCGTCTCGCCGCAACTTCCTTCCCAAGGTTCGCCCCCGATCGTCGCTTACGCAGGATCTCTTGCTGCGCCTCGAACGTCGTGTCGCGACCGCCTACGTCTTTGTTGTTCTGGAGAAAATCAAACATCCCGGCGCGAACGACCCCACCGCGCCGCGCCGAGCGCGTAGAATCGCGCCCGTCGTCGCGGAGCGCGGTCGAAACGACACACCGGAACGCCATCGTCGACGCCATCGTCGCACCGCGAAGTTCACGACTGAGGCGCTCGATCGATTCTCGACGCCGAGTCGCGTTCTGACGCCCTCCGGATCGCCGTCCGCCCACCTCGCGCGCCCACCCCCCTCTCACCCATCCACGCGTCCCGATCACCTCGGCTGCCGCACCGCATCTCGCAATCCCGCATCGCGCGCGTCCTGCGCCTTGGACGCGAGCGAGCGCAACACCTGCGCCGTCGCCGTGGGCACGACGCGTCTTCGACACAGCTCCAACACCGCTTCGTGCACGTCCGCCCGCACGTCCACGCCCGCCAGCGACGCGAGCTCTCGCAACGCCTCCGAAACTACCATCGCGCGCGTCCGCGTCGTCAGTCGTCCCGCGTCAGACGGCCTTCGTCGTCCGCGTCGCGCGCGTCGTCAACGGTCGCGTCGGCATCCATCTTTCACGCATCCGTCGTCTCCACGAGCGCTCCGGGCGCGTCCTTGCGCCTTGGACGCGAGCGAGCGCAACACCTGCGCCGTCGCCGTGGGCACGACGCGTCTTCGACACAGCTCCAACACCGCTTCGTGCACGTCCGCCCGCACGTCCACGCCCGCCAGCGACGCGAGCTCTCGCAACGCCTCCGAAACTACCATCGCGCGCGTCCGCGTCGTCAGTCGTCCCGCGTCAGACGGCCTTCGTCGTCCGCGTCGCGCGCGTCGTCAACGGTCGCGTCGGCATCCATCTTTCACGCATCCGTCGTCTCCACGAGCGCTCCGGGCGCGTCCTCGCGCGCGCGCGACGCGTCGACGTGTCTTCGCGCGCACCCTCCGCTCGCGTGGGCGCGCGCGCGGTCGCCATACGTCCTCGCGCGCGGTGTGCGCCCGAAGCGCGGTGGCGTCCCGGCGAGACGTCGCTCTATTTCTAAACCCTAAACCCTATGTTTGAGGGTTTCGTCCCGATCGCGCGCGCGCGTCGACGGCGCCATACCTCGCGCGCACGATGTCTTTCACCACGGTGCGCGACGACGACGCGCGCGCGGACGCCCGTGATCCCGCGACGTGCGCGTCGCCGCGCGTGGATCGACGCGCGCGACGCGCACGGCGCGATGGTTTCGATGGATGACGATCGGTCGGCGCGACGGGGCGACGATGCGAACGCGCGCGCGACGGAACGAGGCGACGCGTGTGGCGACGACGGCGCGGGTGACTGACGAGATGACGTCGACGTGCGCGTACACGCATCAGGAGTGGCCGAAGCAAGACGCCGCCATCGCGGCTGGCATCGCCGAGAAGAAGGTGGCCAAGGCCCTGAAGGAGGGCGGGAAGAAGGGCGTCGAGATCGAGGGCGCGGCGGACATGTCCGGCCTCACGTGCTTCTGCACGCGCATGCAAGAGGCGGGTGATTCCGTGGAATTGCTCGAAGTTTCCATGGAGGGCATGAATGCGATTCCGGATCCGTCGAACGAGGAGGAACGTAAGGGTTGCTCTGGACACATCTCAAAGCTCATCATCTCGTCCAACGACGAGACGAAGAAGATCGCCATGGTTGCCTACGTCGCCGAACAGCTGAAGGATCAGCTCAACGCGACGGAGTGGATGAAGGCTGTGTGCGACACCGATCTCGGTGGCGGCGTCGGCGGTGCTCCGGCTGAAAGCTCCACCGCGACGTGGGCCACGTGCCAAGTCTCCGAGGACACCGCCAACGGCAAGTTCTACTTGAAGTTCAAGGATAACGCCCTCTCGGCGGCGATCGGCTACTTGCGCGAAAAGGGTCTCTTCCTCGATGACTCCGATTCCGACGACGATGGCGACAACCCCGCCGCGGACTTCGAATGGTAAACTCCTCAATCGCGTTTGATGATACCTTCTAGAAACCATGTCGTGAGAAATTCAAGCACTTGCTTTCAAGCCTTTCGAGCGCGCGACTACCTATTAATGGGTATAAACTACACAAAGCTAATTCGTCGCGGCGGCGAGTTTCTTCGCGATCGACCTCTTGTACGCCGCGAACGAGTCCAGACGCTTGACGGCGCCTCGCTCGATAACGATGACTTCTTTTCCGACTTTTTCGACGAAATATTGATCGTGGCTCACCAATACGACACCTCCCTCGAACTTTTGAATCGCCTCCGCCAGCGCCTCACAGCTCTCGAGATCGAGGTTATTCGTAGGTTCATCGAGAATGATCAAGTGCGGCTGCTTATACGAAACCGCCGCCATGGCGACTCGGCTCTTTTGTCCGCCACTCAGCGCGAGCGCGGGGACGTTTTGCAATTCGGTCGGGACGCCGCACCCGCTGAGATGACTGCGAATCTTCTGTTGGTGATCATAACTTCCATCGCCGGGAAAACGATCGAGCATGAATGCGAGCGGTGTCATCTCGTAATCGAGCTGCTCGGCGTGATGCTGGTTTACCAAACAGACTCGCGCGCCTCGATCGCGCGTCACCACGCCCTTGGTCGGCTCGAGGTCGCCTGTGATAATTTTGACCATTGTTGTTTTTCCTTGCCCGTTCTCCCCGAGCAGGACGACGCGAGATTTCGAGTCGATGCTCAAATCGACGTCGGCGAAGAGCGTCTCGCCGCCTGGATAAGCAAACGAGACCTCGTCGAAGCGAACGATGTTGTGCTGAAGTTCGCCACCCGCCTGAAGGTTCAAGGCGAGTTCGGCGTCTTCTTCCAGATCGGCCATCGCCTCCGATTCTTCTTCGGCCTCTTCCTCGAGCTTTTGTGCCTCCTTTGAACGCTTCTTCATCGCGCCGATCGCCGAGGACGATCCACCGTATTTGAAGCCGTGATTCGCAAAGCTCTGCAGCGACGCAATTTTCTCTCTTCGCAGCTCCATCTTACGTCCCATCGCCAGCTGCTGCTCGCGACGTTTTTTCGCCCACGCGCTGTAAGCCATCCGATGCGCCGTCAGACGTTTCGCCACGCCAGATATGTGCAGCGAGTCCGTCGTCACCTCGTCTAAGAAGTGCCTGTCGTGACTCACGGTGACGATGATTCTTGAGTTCCATACCGGATTAGTAGATAGCTCTCTACTTAAGAACATAACCGCGGCAATGGACAAGTGGTTGGTCGGTTCGTCGAGAAACAAAATGTCCGGCTGCGCGAAGAGCGCCGCGGCGAGCGCCGTCCGCACGCGCCAACCACCCGAAAGAGCTCGCATCGGACGAGCGACCAACGCGTCGGTGAATCCGAGATTTTTCAATAAGACGGCAACTCGAGCCGGGGCGCTCGACGCCGAAATCGAGTCCAACATCGCGCTCACTTCTCGTAAACGAGTGAGCGCCGAGGCGTCCTCGCTCGTCTCCAAGCGCGCTTGCTCCTCCAACAAGATCAATCTCTGCACGTCCGCTCTCAAGACGACGGCATCGGGCGTCATCTCCTCCTCTTCTTCCGTGAGCTCGACCTCTTGGGTGACGTAATGCACGCTGTACGAGGCGTCGATACCCTCCACCCGTCTCGCCGCGAGGTGTCTCAGAAGCGTCGATTTCCCCGAGCCGTTTCGCCCAATCAAACCGTACCGTCGTCCCGGAGTTACCGTCAACGACGCGTCCTCGATCAAATCCGCCCCACCTCCCGGATTCGGCAGGTTAAACGGCCCCAGATCGACGTTCGCCAGCGCCTTCGACGCGCCCGCGCACCGCGCCTCCGCCGCCCGCCGTCTCGCGTCGCGCAATTCCTCACCCAATCTCCCCCGCGCCTCCGCCGCGTCCGCCGCCAATCGCTCCCCACGCCGTCGCACCTTCTCCCGCTCTCTCACATCGCGCGTCGTCGCCTTCACGTCACTCACGGTGCCATCGACCGTCCCATCCGTCCCGTCCGCCGCCGCCGCCG